AGGGAAAGGAAGAGCTGAATTGTGCGTTGGCCAGGTTTTTATTCAAACAGCACACTACCATTCACGTTGCAACGGGAAAAACGCCAGCATGGTTGCTTTATGGCAGGGAACTTCCATCAGCTCTTGAACGATTAAAAACTGTACTTTCTGAAGAGCCAGTCCGCACAGAAAGCTTCACAAACGCACGGGAACTGAGCGTGGGACAGTCTGTCTGGACTAAGAAGTTTCCACAAGGCAAAGGCTGGGTTCCTGGCGTACTCGAACGTCAGATGGGCCTCCGTTCATGGATGGTGAACACAGATGAAGGTTCGGTACGCCGGCATACCAACCATATACGTCAGCGATGTTCAGCAGCCAGCACCCAACAAGAAGCGAAGACTCCGTCTCCTGTGTGGGACCTCAAGATTGACCAGAGTCCAACTCCACCACGGGCACCATCTCCCGGCGAAGATACTCCAGCTCGAGCAGACGCATCACCCCAGCGAGACAGTAGCAGGCCGGCGGCGTATCCTCGCGAACCAGCGTCAGCTCCTTCGACGGCAGACGCTGGCCCTTTCACTGGTACCCGGAGGGGCACTCGAGCGCGGCGACAACCGCAACGCTACGGGAGCAACGACTAGTTGGAGGGGGTGTTATGTAGCCGCTGGCAAGCTGGCGCCCATCGGCTCGTGACCATCGGCTGCACTCGGACCGAGCGCTCGAGAGCCGCGGGGCACGGGCAGACAACGCCAGGCTAGGAACGTTGCGCCAGGCTTAATCGGAGGCTCCATCAGAATAAATCGATTAGACAACCTTCGAAGGCTACATCTCGTATTTAACAGTCAACATCTTGTAAAATAAAACGTAAAACAAAGGGGAAAAGGGGGGAACGAAGTGAATTATGCAGAAGGAGAGGAAGAGGAAGAAGAGGAGGTTTATATATAAAAACAGTTGGTAGTCCAGCGATCGGGTGTCTTTCTTTCTATCTCTACCTTTTCCTTAGTTCAGCTGGTTTTTTTCATAATGAGTAACCAACTAGCTCAGATTACACCAATCGTTACTTATCTTTCTAGTTACCTGAGCACGTCTTTTATCAATTTCAACCTCCTTGGCCCACCAGGCTTGAGGCTCATGATTGCAACGTCCATCTGCCAAGCAAGGCTGCTCACTCGCAGCATACAAAAGAAGATCATCCTGGAAGAGGTAAAGTGTTTTTTCGGGGCTCTACAACCATCACACGCGCACGCACAACGGGTGTCCAAGATTCTTCGGTCTGAAAAATGGCGCCAAGTGCGACTACTCACCGACTTTCTGCGAGTCAAGTCTCCGACCCGCAACGAATTTTCCAATCATCTCATCATGACGCAAAACACAACGGAGATCCTCTGGAAGAACTTTCTCCCCAATTGGCGTCACCATCTGGAACTACACCGGCAACGCAAGACGGTTCTGCAAAAGACACCACTCCAGCTTATAGGGAATGTGCACATTTCAGAACAAGCTCGGAAGGTGCTGGAACAAGGACCAAAGTTTGCCATAGCTCCCAAGCTTGAAGCTGTAGACAAGGTAGCCATAATACGGCAAATTGCCGCAAAAGCTCCACAGGAAAGAAGCTCTCAAATTATTGATGAAGGAATTCAAGTATTTTCCAGCCTTCAGCACCAAGCTAAGCCAAAGGTGAGCTTTGGGTCTACAATTCAAGAATTAAGAAGCCGGGATTTAAAGCTATGCATTTCCGATAAGGAGGGAGGATTTGTCGTTCTTGAGTCCGACAGATATGGAGAAAAAGCCCATCAGGCCATGATCAAGAATTTTATGCCAGTAGCAGAGAAAAGGACAAAAGTAGCAAAGAAGGCCATTCTCAAGTTGCTAGACGAACACCAACAAGTTAGTCTCAGCACCAGGATCAAAGGGGCAAAAAATGATCAACTTTCTGTCTTCTTCTCAGCCAAGACTCACAAAGAAGGTGTTCCATTTCGGGCTATAGTATCCGAAAGAAACACTTGGCAAGCATGCGTATCGAGGTTTCTTGCCCAGCAACTCTCCAAAATACCAGTAGAAGACCCCTTCAGGATACCTAACTCAGAGCACGTGATCGCATTTCTTCATGAACAAGGAAACCTAATTGTTTCTGGGTTCTCGATTGACGTACAGGATATGTACTACTCAATTCCGCACGATAACCTTTTACGTGTTCTTCAAACCACCATTGAGGAACAAGGGCTTACCACGTTTCAAAATGCAGCAGGGATGAGCCTGGGCACCTTCTTGGAACTTTTAGGCTTCTACTTGTCCGCAACGGTGGTGGCCCACCAAGAACATCACTATGTGCAGAAGAGTGGGGTATGCATCGGATCCCAAGTGGCTCCGTTTTTATGCGAAATTTTTCTCGCTGCCTGTGGAACAACTATCCAAAAAGTCATAAATGATCCACGAATATCAGTCATTTTTCGCTATGTGGATGACTTTCTTATTTTATGCTCCACTGCAATTGAAGAAGAAAATGGATGCCTCGACTCCATAATGACATACTTCCAAAACAGCTGCATGGGCCTCACTTTCACCCATGAGCTTCCCATCAAAAAAACTATTAGGCTCCTTGACCTGGTGTTGGAGTTTCAAAAAGATCATGTTTGTTGGAGGTACCAGGCGCGCTCGAATAAAGGGTTTCTTCCCTTCGAGTCCCAGCATTCCAAAATCGTCAAACAAGGAATAGTCGCCACGGCCCTTCTGGCCAGCCTCAAAAAGACTTGCCCCCACCAAATACAACAAAGCTTCAATACACAAGTTTCAAGACTTCAGGACGCCGGTTACTCAGAGTCTTTATTGGCCTCCATTTGCGAAAAAATCATTCGCACCATCAAGAAGAAAGACGACCCCACAGCAAAAAAGAAACATGCACGGAAACCTTTTGTGGTGGTCCCATATATACATGGGGTTACCCACAAGTTAAAAAAGATCGCCAGGCGACAAGACGTGCAAGTTGTGTGCTCGGCACCCAACAAAGCGTATTCAATGTGCCGGAAGATCAACCAGGCATCGATTAACCAGATCAGTCAATGTAACACCAGGCACAAGACACAATTCGCCTCGTGCGAAAAAGAGGTTGTTTACAGCATACCACTGACATGTGGGCGCTGCTACATTGGGCAAACGGGACGCTGCATCAACGAGCGTACACGTGAGCACGCAGCCAACCTAAAGAACCTGACAGCGCCGGGGCACCTATCTGCGCATTGCCGAGCATGCAAGTGCACGGCGAAGCTCGCGCAAGTTAAAGGAGCTGTGCAACAATATTTGTACTGTGCACAAATACCGCTTAAAACGGATCCCTAACGTTAATGACCTATGAAAAACGCGTTCGTTTTTCACCCCACGCAATAGAAGTCCCAGAAAAAAAATTGAATAAAAACGAGCAGCCTTCACCCCCTCAACTCGCAGCCAGAACAAGCGGCCACGTGATCTGGACCCGATTATATGCCGCCAGTGTTGATCATAGCCACGCGCTGGGGTTGGCAAAGCGCAGGACACGCGCTGAGTTCCAGACATTGTTATGGCTCGGCTGTTGTCGTCGTTGCAGCGATTGGACACGGGTCACTACCCGAATGCTTCTCGAGCTAGCAATTGTCACGAGCCCAAGTCGAGTGCCCACGCAATGCTCGGGTCCAATCTATGAACCGCATTCAAATATCGTCACTTGGGTGTACTGCGATCCCCGAGTTACGTCATCAAATTTTGCAAAGGAGAGATTGAATGAAAATGACCGCTTTTGTCCTTGAAATTACACCGCAACAAAGGAGTTTCTTGGCCAATGGCGTTGCGTGTGAGTATCCTTGAGTCCCAGGTGTGCCAGTAAGCTCGTGTAGAGAGAAAAACATTCCAATTGATTATCGTTGCACAGCTCCTTTAACATCGTAGCACGCCACAAAAGCCAGCTCGCGCGGGAGATGTTAGAAGCTGCTGCCATAGAAGAAAAAGGAGATGGGTGTGTTAGTGCACCCTCAATCACCTTGTTGCGCACCGAAAAACTATTTCTCCGAGGGGGTCAACATCTTGTAAAATAAAACGTAAAACAAAGGGGAAAAGGGGGGAACGAAGTGAATTATGCAGAAGGAGAGGAAGAGGAAGAAGAGGAGGTTTATATATAAAAACAGTTGGTAGTCCAGCGATCGGGTGTCTTTCTTTCTATCTCTACCTTTTCCTTAGTTCAGCTGGTTTTTTTCATAATGAGTAACCAACTAGCTCAGATTACACCAATCGTCACTAGGAATAAGCACTTTCATGCCATAGTGGGTAATAGACGCAAACTATATTACAGGAAAAAAGTGTTATTTGTGCTCTTGTTGCTGTTGTTAAGTGGCGACGTAGAAACTAATCCTGGTCCTGCAACTAAGGAACAAATGGAACTCATACAATCTATGTTCACTGAACTGCAAAACGGTCAAAGAAGTGTCCTCGCGAAGTTAAATGTTATTGAAAGCAAACAAACGGAGATTCACAATAAAATAGAGAATTTAATTGCAAAAAACGAGCAATTTGAACAACGGATCTCAGATGTTGAAGTAAATAGAAGAAAGCTGGAAGCAAGAGTAGACGACCTTGAAAATCGGAGCCGCAGGACAAACTTGGTGTTTTTTGGCATACCTGATGACACAGTGCGAGAGTCATGGGAGGAGTCAGAAACTCTTGTTAGACGCATCTGTAAAGGTAATCTAGATATCGATGTCACCTCAATACAAAGGGCCCACCGTCTAGGTACTTTCAAGGAACGTAGCTGTCGGCCGATTATAGCAAGCTTTCAAAATTGGAAAGAACGTGACAACATCATGCGCAACGCCTTTAAATTCAAAAACTCTGCTTACAGCGTTTCCGAGGATTTCAGTGCACTTGTCAGAGAAAAAAGGCGCAAGCTATGGGACTATTCCAAAGAAAAACGACAAGATAAGAACAACAAAGTATGTCTTACCTACGACAAGCTCGTTATCAACGGAGACACGTACGCCTGGGATTTCGAACAAAGCATGCCTATACTCGTTCGTAAAAAGGCTCCACCGATTCAGCAGGATTGACGCCGTGCGAGAGATATCTGTCAAAATGCCGCTTTATCAGATGCAGATGTCTCGGTATTACTTGTGAACTTCCGTAGCATAAAAAATAAAGTGTACGATTTCTTATCTCTAGTCGAGACAATCAGACCCAAAGTTATTATGGGAACGGAGACATGGCTGCATGACTCGGTTTCTAATTGCGAAGTTTTTCCCCCTGGTTTTTCCGTATACCGCAAAGATAGAAATGGACACGGAGGTGGTGTGTGTTTGCTAATTTCATCAGACTGGAGTAGTAGTGAACTAGTTTTTTCCGAAAACGACACTGAGTCTGTATGGTGTCGAGTAGTTTTACCTAAGGGGACCACTTTAGTTTTTGGTACATTTTATCGCCCTCCAGATAGTGATGCGTACTCGATAGACAAATTGGGTGACTTGTTGACGACAATTCCAGATAGTGTATTCTTGGGAGGAGACTTTAATCTACCAGGGTTCAACTGGTCTGATGAAGTTCTTGCTACAGATGGACCCCGCGCTTACTCGATGTTTGCTGACATAATCAGTGTATTTGGATTTGAACAATATGTTAAAAAACCGACGCGAGAAAATTCTGTCTTGGATTTAATTTTATGCAATTTTCCTGGCGTTGTATCCGAGGTCACTGTACTTCCCGGCATAAGTGATCACTGCGCGGTTGTTGCTAAGCTCTCGGAGCCCGGAACGCGAAAGCAAGCGGAGTGTCCACGGAAAGTATTTTTGTACGACAAAGGTAATTACGAAGCGATCGATGCAGAGCTTGAATCCTATTTTTATACATTTAGTCGTCTGTCCGAAAATAGTGACGTCGAAACTATATGGCATGCTTTTAGAAATAAAATATTAGAGCTTGCGGAGGTGTATATTCCATCGAAACAAATGAGGAAGCGTAAAAAAAATAAGCCTTGGTTTAATGTAGAAATTCGCAGACTTATAGGTAAAGCGAGACGTGCTTACAAAACGCTGACCAAAAGTTGGTCAGTCCAAACTGAGCAGAAGTACAAAGAGATTAACAGGCTTCTCAAATTGCAAATAAAATTAAGCAAAAAAGTGTTCTTTGACAAGTTTAACAAAAATCTAAAAAGAAACCCTAAAGAATTCTGGAAGTTCGTCAACGCGAACAGAAAGGAAGACACTTCTATTCCTGCGTTGAAAGTTGATGGTAATACTGTGGTGTCTGATAACGCGAAGGTTGAATGCTTTAACTCGTATTTTAAGTCGGTATTTTCGGAAGACTCTCCGCATCTTCTATCTCCAGTGGCTTGCCGAACGCAGCAAAGCGTAATGCCCAGCATTACAATTGACATGAATGGTATAGTGAAGTTGCTGCGCGGAATTGATGCAACCAAGGCTGCCGGACCTGATGGCATTTCCCGTTATTTTTCTTAAGTGCAGTGAATCCATAGCGCGTTATCTTTTTGTTATATTCAGTGAAACGTTAAAGACGGGGATGGTTCCAATGGATTGGAAGATGGCAAACGTTACACCAGTTTTTAAATCGGGTTCTAAAGCCAGTGTTGAAAATTATCGCCGTATTTCATTGACATCGATCTCATGTAAGTTGTTTGAACACATTATTTACAGTAACCTTTACTCGTTCCTGGATTCATTACACTTCTTTTCTAACTCACAGCATGGTTTTCGAAGCGGCTACTCTTGCAACACACAGCTGGTAGAATTTTATCATCATATATCCAGATCACTAGACAGCAGGAAATATGTCGACTGCGTGTTCTTAGACTTTCGAAAGGCATTTGACACGGTCCCCCATCAGTTATTATTGTATAAATTGGCTTTGCTAAACATAGATCTCAACGTCCTGAATTGGATACAAAATTATTTAGAAGGTCGTGAGCAGCGGGTTGTTTTAAACGGTACTATATCCACATCAACTCGGGTTACGTCGGGAGTGCCACAAGGGAGTGTCTTAGGGCTTTTACTTTTTCTCATATACATAAATGATATCACCGAAAACATACAGTCTCATATTAAACTGTTCGCCGATGACTGCGTATTGTACAGGGAAATAAACACTTCAGACGACCTGGCCATGTTACAAACCGACATAAATATTTTATCTTCTTGGTGCAATCAATGGAAAATGAGCCTAAATTTAAGTAAATGCAAACATATTCGTTTCTCGAGAAGTAAGCTGCACGATTCTTATAGCTACCTAATCAACGGGACTGTTTTATGTACTGTGTTTGAGTATGTTTACCTAGGAGTGCTATTTGCGGATTCCCTAAAATGGAACAGCCATATAGAACGTACAATCGGAAAGGCTAGTAAAATGTTTTATTTTATCCGTCGAAATTTTAGATCCGCGTCGCGAAACGTCAAAGAAACACTTTATTTTTCTTTGGTAAGAACGATCCTTGATTACGCGTGCGTTGTGTGGGACCCTTATCACGATTCCACGTCAAAATGTCCAACGAGACGAAATGTCCAACGGGTCAGAATGTCCAATATTGGACATTTCGTCTCGGTGGACATTTCGTCTCGTTGGACATTTTGACCTGCTTGGACATTTCGTCTCGTTGGACATTTTGACTCTTTGGACATTTCGACCCGATTGGACATTTCGTCTCGTTGGACATTTTAACTCTTTGGACATTTTGACCCAATTGGACATTTCGAATCGGTGGACGTTTTTACCCGATAGACATTTTGACCTCTTTGTATCGTTGGCCCAGACTCTGGCACTGCATAATGCAGAGACGGACGTCTTTAGAATTCCGAATACTTACAGGCGCCCCGGGTTTTCGCTAAAGCGGTAGTAGGATGATGACTTGAAGAAATCTGACAAACTTTTTTTGGGGAAAACAAAATATTTCTAATCGCAAAAAAAAAAAAGGAAATCTAATTTACGTTGCGGACGCTGGTAGTCCGCTAAAATGTAACCCTAGCGGTTGGAAGAAAATGTCAAATTTCAGATTTGTGCTCTGCTTAGAAGGTGTGGGGGGGGGGGGGGGGGATTTTTTTTTAATTAACAAATGGGGCACGTTTCCGGTGACGGACGCTGTTCATCTTCATGTATTCCCGGCTATGTTGACCACCATTTAAGCACTGAAAATTTCTAAGCATTGCCTAAAATGAATCAGACTACGCTATGTTCCGAAAAATTGGCTTAAGTTGCTCCAGCTTATTTTTTCGATGCTTAAAACAGGGTTTCATTCCTTAACCTGCAAATTAGGAGACACCTAAGGCAATATAATTAAGCGTGATGAATAACGGCAGCAAATGCAATAATATATTTTGTAATTAGGATACGGTGATGGATTAGGTGATTGAAGCAAAGTTAAAATAGCGCTAACTAAAACATTGGATTAGGTAGTTGGTTCATGACTAAAAGGAATGAAAAACGCAAAAAGACACCAACGGAAAAAAAGAAAGGTTGTGTTCTATGTCTTCTTTTTCGTCTGTATCTTTTTGCCTCTACAGTGTTATCTTATATTGCGCCAATTTTAATGTATAAAAACCAAGGAGGGTGCTTCGTGCCCAGGTCCACGAGGTTCACATACGGACGTTTTCAGCAGAAGCGTTTAAAACGAGACTCAAGAGGAAATTACTCATTGCACGTGCATTCGTCATTACGTTATTTAAGTCGTCCACCCCGAATCTTTCCCCCGGATAGGGCGAGCACATGAATACGCAGTGTGTACGAAGAAACCCAGCATGTTTCAGATTCGGCATCGCATGCTTTGTTCGCTGCCATCCTAACTTCCTTCCCTCGATAAAGGGGACAGATGACTGCACCCTTGTTATAATTAAAGTCACTGATAGTGGCATTAGTCAGAAGGCCTTGGACAGGGGTCGGCGCATTCTGTGCCTCCCGCAGTTTTTCGCGCGTTTCTATTCCATATCTGACTTGAGCATACTTGATATAAGCAACATTGAACAGGGTTGCAAGAACTTTCATAATAAGCATTCTTAACGCAAGCCATACAGCGTGTATACAGCATGGAACGGATAAAAAATGACACGTGGACATTTCATCTCGGACATTTCGACTCGATGGACATTTTGACCTGATTGGACATTTCGTCTCGATGGACATTCTGACCCGATTGGACATTTCGTCTCGATGGGCATTTCGTCTCGATGGACATTCTGACCCGATTGGACATTTCGTCTCGATGGACATTTTGACACGGGTGTCACGTGGCCTATTGGACATTTTGACTCGATGGACATTTCGTCTCGTTGGACATTTTGATCAGAAGCCCCTTATCACGACTTCCTTATCAATAAACTAGAAAAAATTCAAAATCAGGCCGCGCGTTTTGCACTGAACAACTATGACCCTTATGCTAGTGTTACAGATATGAAGGCCATGCTGGGATGGGAAACACTCGAATGTAGACGAAAAAAAATAAGACTAAAATTTTTCCACCGTGTCTTTCACAACAAAACAGGAATTGATAAAGCCACTTATCTTATGGAGCCATCCTACGTTTCTACCCGTTGTGATAATTCTAAAAAGGTTGCTGTTCCCACTTACAGGACTGACAGTTTTGCGAATTCATTTTTTGTCAAAACCGCGAGAGAGTGGAACGATCTCCCGGAAGATGTTGTGTCCATTGATGATAATGACGTTTTCTTTTTCCACATGTTATAATGTTTTCTAAAACCCCCCTACAATAATGCCCACAGGGCGATGTAGGTACAATGTAAATAAATAAAATAAAATATGTGATTAGCATTTGTACAGAAATTTTTAATTCATGCAACATTTTTAAACTAAAAAGTATCCAGGGCCTTGACGCAGAAGGGGGGCTATTGCTCACTCTGTTGCTACTACAGATAATCCTCAGTCATAACAGCAGCTATAAAAACGGGTGATAAGTGCTCGAAATGCACATTCAATGTTTGTATTAAAAAACAAAAAAATAAAAAAAAAACCTAAATGTGAAAGAAAAAAAAAAGGTGTATGGGATAGCGGGAATCGGACTCTCCATTGCCGCTCCTCTACGGGCTCAAGAAATAAGCGCTCCAATCCACTGAGCTACCGAGCAGATTGTTTTTCTTTAATACATGGAAAATCACGATTTAAAGTTCGAATTCTATATACACACAGTGAATGTTATACACATGATGATGGAGGTGGTGGATGGATGCTCTCCTGGTGATCAGTCCTTGATGAACATAATGACTGTACTCGCACTCGTATCGCACTCATGTCTTCACTCTGGGTACTATACACTTTTGGGGAAACAGAGAGTACACATTCTTCATGGCATACACTTAAACAAATTCCTAAGGCAAGCACATTTCAAGTGTGTTTTGTATGAAAGACATGATTTGATTATGTACGGAGGTTGGCTGCTTTCACTATATTAAAAATCAGGAAGTCTTAGACAAGCATCAAACAGAGGAAAGCAGTCGGGCACTGGTGGGTGGGCCTCATACACACTTCTAACTTTTGCGATTTCTTCCAGAAATACGGACTTAGTTGTGCGTGGAATGTCAGCGTTTCTGTCGATCATCCGGCATCTCCAGAGACTGTGTAAACCAATCAGCATGAATCAATCATAAGGGATATTTGTTTCAGTCGGGACGTATAAGTAACGAATACTGTGATCAGTTAAGTTAATATCTTTTCTTAGGGTTCTTTGGAGCACATCCAACAAGAAAATCGC